ATATTCTCAAAAAGAAACAGAGCCCTGCCAACCTGTGAAACATCACTGATGGAGGAACTCCAGGAACACTTGCCAGGATAGTATTTCCCCAGCAGTGGTGCAGAGAGGGAAAGACTCAGAGAAGCCATGCAAATATAGATACCTGCTGCAAAAACACAGCACTGAGATTGACCTGCTCTCGCTGGAGTCAGGTCAGTCCTATTCATCATCAGCTGAATGATGTGATGAAAGGCTCACTACAGAAACCATGTGCAGGATTTATATATGCCCATACAAGGGTTCTTTCCCCTGAGAGGGTTACGTTGTTACACACCTACAGACAAGGCTCATTGCCCAGGGCAGGCACTGGCTCAGCTGCAATTAGAGAAAGAGGCCACAGCCCTGGTCTGTGGTTGCAGAGAAGCCGTCCAAGAATAAACAGGGTTAGATAGTTGTCAGCTGCACTCATTCGACACACAAGTTGCCACCAGTCCCCCGAGGCTATGTCACTAATTCAAAGCACTGCTACCTATGTACATGTTTACAGGTTTATTACACGTTGATGTAAGCACCTGAAAGATCAACACTTTGTCAGTAGAAATGTATTAAATTTGGCAGGAACCCTGCTCTGCAGTAGAACTGGGATTAGCTTGGAGGCAGATGTGACTTATTCATGTCTGCATCAGCTTCAGGAACTGTGATTCATATTACACAGCAAGGCAGCACTGCAGTGCTATAAAGGGCTGTGAGGTTTATCTGTTGTTGGAAGCTACCCTGGTCTGCTAGCAAGACTTGTGATACTTGCCAGTTTTAGTCCCAGACCTGATGCCTCAGAGCTGAAGGTGCTAGAAAGCTTTAGAAGGAAAAGGGAGTTTTTTTAAGGCAGCTAAAGCCAGTTTCAGTGAAAAAGGTGAGCAAAATGGCTAAATGCCATGGATTTGAGCTGTAAGCAGAAATGAATGCAAAATTCAGAGGTAGAAAATAGTCTGAGTTTTGACTTTATAGTCTAGCTAGTATCACTTTGTGTTATTTTCTGTGTGTACAGAAATCCAGGCACTCACTTTTATGATACGGGCCAGAATAGACACTGAACTGCATACAACACACATGGATGCAATTATTATGTCTGGAACAGCAGCAGCTTTAAGTGACGTTCTGCTAGAGAGAGTAGCTAATCTAATCTCTTTTCCTTCAGTCTTAACACTGGAACTCATGGCAGAAGAGCACGCTGAACCAGTGAAACAGGATAGAGATGTAACAACTCCAGCAGTTGGTGAACAAGAGACTTAAAACAAGTAATGTCCTGAAAAGTGAACAGGAGCTGTATTCATGCCAGTAATCCCTATCTGGCAGAAGCCAGGAGGGAAGCTGACAACTGCAAGATGCCAAAAAGAAAAAAAAAAAAAGAAAACCCAGATCAGCTTTAAGAGAACGATGAAGCACTCCAGGAATATGTTCTAAGCATTAACAAGAAAACTGCATGAGCGCTGTGAGAAAAATGACGAATGAAAATGGACTTTGACAGGCAGCACACAGTTAACTGCAAATGGCCCAAATACCACAGGTATAAATGTGGCACTTAACAGGGTCATGGTGCACCTGGGCTTCCAGCTGCACAGCACCTTCTTCTGGCTGGGCTTCCCTCCTCTCCAAGGGGAATACCGTGGGCATTCACCACCACCACCCACACTCTCTCCCTGGTTTCTGCTCACTTTCTCCTGCTGCCCCTTTTCCAGTAAGGTTATTGCCTGTGCTCCTCCCCAAGTAGCAGCATCCCTCTGGCCACAGAACCGGCATTGCCTGGGAGCGTGCAGGACTGTACTGCCCTCCTCCTGAAAAGAGTTATCCCAGCTTCGTGCGCTGTGGGTGTCCCTTCCCTCCCCCATAGCACATGAGGCCAGCTGTTACAGCTTCAATGGTTTTATAGACGTGTACGTTGACCTCATGGCAGAAGCTGGGAGACATGTGGGATACCACAACCAACCCCCCCAAACAGGCAGAGAGACACCCTCCCCCCCCCATGCACACAGGCGGCGACGCCAGTCCCAAGATTCCCTCCCTATTGTAATTCTTTTTGCTCTGTGAAGAGATTTATCACATGCAGCTGCCACAACTTGTTTACAAGACACAAAAGCCATGAAAACAAGCTTGACGAAGTCTGCATGTGAGCTGTTTTCCCTGCACAGATTTGTCATACCTCTTAGTTCACTTACGCCCTGTCTGGCCACGCGGTCTTCAATAACACACGGCAATGCCTTCCCTTCATCTTCAGAGTCAGCCTAAGAGTGTATTTTCAGTCAGAGGTTAGGTTTTGACACAGCTGCCTTGCAATTAGGTTTATCATTGCTGCAAGAACAGAAAAGCTGCCCATTTTGTCTCATCGTTTCTTTCTACTGCCTTTTTTTTTTTCCTTATTCCATGGTAAACCAAGTTTCCAGAAATAAACTTTTCCTTTGCCCTACCAGGGATGAGTGACCAGCCCATGAAACCTCTGGCTTGTTACTATGACTCCTGCTCAATTCTGGATCCTAGCTCCACCTCATGCCCTACATCTACCTGCCTTTGATAATTTTATCTGGATTTACTGCAAGTTTCTGCTCTGAAAGAGTAGGTTCAGGCAAACTTCAATAACCTGCACTGAAACTGTCAGTGCTACATTACAGGAAAGCAGAAACTCCCCTTTGGTACTACTTTAGTGGGTACTCATATGAATAATTGTCTTCCTCCAAGCTATGTAACACCTCAGGGTGAGGAAAAGCATTTACACGGTGTGCCAGGTGCTACTCAGCCAAAGTGGTTTGGCTTGTGACTACAGCTGAACTTCTAGGTGCAACCTTGACACAAATAATAATTAAAAGACCTCAAGCAAAACTGGTCACAAGTGAAGTCCCCAGGGTAAGTCAGTCAGCAAAATGGAAATGCAGTGCTCATCACACAGCCAGGACTTCGGTGGTGTTACACTAATGCCATTTTGTATGGCTTACTGGTAAATGAAAACAGCATAGAGACCACAGGCTTTTACTTTCAATGACAACTGTTAACCTGAATAGCAACAGTTTTCTTAGTCATACTATTTTCATTTTCAGTACTGCAGCTGCTCTAGTGGAATTACAGAAATGCTCAGCTCAGCCAGCAGAGCTCAAGTTTGGGGTTTTAAACTTGCTGACATTTTTTAAGGGCAGAGAAATGAAGATCTCTGAAAACGCTCTTTAGCGATCCAAGTCCCCCACTTTATGTCACAGCACAGCAGCAACCTGCTTTGGAAAAAAAAAAAAAAGGGCGGGGGAGGGAAGGAGAAAAAAGTCAAAGCACTTAAACAATGCATGTATTTGCATGAGGTTGTTTTTCCTTGTTAGCGCTTGAGGCATGGGTGTAAGGAGTGTTGCCATAAAGTTCCTTCCTGCACGTGGAAAAGGAAGCATCTTCCAAATCTTCACCAAAGATGACACTCTTCTTTGGGTGCCTAACACTCTTTGAGAGCAACCATCTATGCCACAAAGGATGTCTACTGAGCAATTTTTCCCTCAATCTCATGATTTTCACAAAAGTGTACTCCCATTTTATTACAAAATTAGCCACTAAAAACAAGCCACCACCACCAAAAAACTAAAAAACCCATACATAGGCATGCCAAGAAAAATAGACTAGACATACAAAGTACAGTGTGTCTAGAGACAAGACACAAGGCTCTTTCTAGATTCACATGCTATCTTTGAAGACAAAAGTGTACAGCCACCTCTGGCTACGTTAAAAAATTGTTTTTTCTAGCTTTACTTCAATAGAAAGTACATATATAAAGAAAAAAATCTATATTCACGTCATGGTTTAAGCCCAGCTGGCAACTCAGAACCACACAGCTGGTACTGAACCAGCTGAACCCAGGACAATTCATACAGTAGATTAAGATGACTCTGTGTTACTGAAGCTGACAGAGATAATAAGTAAACCAGTGTTTACTATTTGCCTTCATTTTTTCAAATATAAACATTGATTTGAAACTTCAAGAAAGGCAGAAGTTCAGTAGAATTCCAGAGTACTCCAGAGAACAAATAATCTTTCCAGACACTACAAAAAGATAAAAGGCCACAGCAAAATGAAATGCATATGCATTGCAGCCTTCCACTCATAATGATATTCTTACACTCATCAGCTCTCCTGCTCCACAAAGTCCTCTCCCAGCCTCCCAGACAACTGGTTTGTTTTTAAGGATTAGCCAGAACTGATTTTTTCCCCTTGAAGTCTCTTATTTCACTGTTGTTAGAAGGACAAGGGTAGGTGACTGACATTCAAGTAAGTTGAGATGTGACCTGCAAGTCTTCACATTACTTAGTAATAACATTGATAGCCAAGTCTTTTTCTGAAAGGTAACTTTAAATTCTGTTGGCCAAAAACATCCTAAAACAAGAGGAATCTCTTTGAAATCTTAGTCAACCACCGGTTTAAGTATCTCACCAAGACCTGGCTCCCAAAACTCAGGATTTCAACTCAATACAGTCTCTTCTATTTCAGTCTACTAGAATTACTGAGTCAAAACCTTGTTATTGGTAGTCCAAGGGTAAGAGTGGGAGCCCTTGCCCTGCCCCCTGAAAATCTGTCACTAGCGATGTTGAGGAGCTGCATCACAAAGATGCTTTCTCCAAACCCCCTTTTGGCCTTCCCATTTAATCTTCAGGAGAACTTCCCCATGTGCTGTCACATCTCCCAACCCTGAAGTATTTCTAGGAACCAAAACATGAAAACTTAGAGAGGCCTAAGATATCCCCTTGGAATTTAATGAGCTATGCCTACACAGTTCCCTTTGGCCCCTTTAGAAAAAATTCAACACAGTAGAACACACTCAGGTACTTCTGGCCCACTTTCCTGCATTCCTTTAAATACCTCGTTAACAATAACTGCTAGTGCAGCTCTGTAAAACCAAAGTCAGTATGAGCTCAAAAATAGTTCTCACTTCCATTTATTTCAAGAGTACAACTGTGTTTTCTGCAAAGCTCATATTCAACAAAATACTCTGTAGGCATCTATTTGTAAAGAAAATATTTTATTACATTATGGGAAAAAAAGCATAATCATCCAAAGTTCATATTGTTAAAAAAATTGAAAATTTATTTTAAACAGCATGTCGGTATATTCTGTTCCACATGGGAATGATAAGAAGACTCTATATCATTACTAGATATTGCACAGTCTGAAAGAAAAAAAAACAAATCACATGATCTTGGGAACTATCTCACATTATGAAAAACCTATGAAGAAAACATTAAAAACAAAACAAAAAAAAAAAACAAAACCAACACACAGTCCTTTCTTTCTACAGTAGCTTTAAGTTTATAATTCTTGGAATGACCATATTCCACTGAAAACCAACTCAGTGACAGGAAGCTTCATTTCAGCAATCCCTTGTGCAAATAAGATTAATAAAAAAAATAATAATAATGCTGTGAAGTCTTTTGATATCATGTGGGTGGCAATAACCACACAGCTGTTAGATCCCTGCCTGGAAAAACAAAATGGGAAGGAGAACAGAGGGAATTTAAGCCATAAGTTTTGCCTGCAACTCCATCTCTGCCGCCCTTTTGAGTGCAACATCCACCAGTAGCTGAAATCCGCTAAAATCCTGGTTAAGGTCTGGTGGGGTTGGAGGAGGAGTGTTAAAGAGCCCACTTTGTGCATTAGCACCAGGTCCCAGTTTAGATGCGTCCTCAGGGTAGGAGAGAGAGTTGTCTGTGAAGCCGTTGGTGGGGGGCTGCTGCAGGTCCGTGGTCTGGCCTACATCAGCTGGCTGGCAAAAGTGGAAAGGGGCATCTTTCAATGCAGTCACAGTCGTGTGGCAAATCACCGATGGCCGAGCCAGGACTGATCCTGGGGAAGCTGGCTTGGAAGAGGACATAGTCTTGCCAAGCGGTGCTGCAGAGGGAAGGAAGGCAGTCTCCTCCAGCAGGGGAATGTAGTTCTTTGTGCTGATGGAAGACTCTACCAGGCCACCCTCAGGGAGCTTGGTCCCTCGTCGTGAGATAGTGAACTGATTTGGGTCTTTGCCATCCTTCCTCAGCATGTCAGGTAAAAGCCTGCGGCGTGCATTGATAAACCAGTTGCAGACCTAGGAATATAATGACATCTTAATTTCTATCTTCATTCATTTCCAACTATGTGCCATTTGAATAGTTGGATTACATTAATGAATCCCTCCAAGCAGTTTCCTTAACTGCAGAACAAAAGAGAGGCCTACTGACAAGTTCTGACACGCCTGGCAAAAGCCCTTCCCTTGTCCCGGCTCTACCGTCAGCTCCCCACTCCTGTTACAGAAAGCCTGTGGACATCTGGAGACTTCTAACCTGAACTAAAGGGTTTAGCTTTTAACTCTGTGCATACACATTAACCTATTGGCTATTGTTCCCTATGCTTAGGTTAATTAACAACAGGAAAACATTTTCTCTCTGAAGAGAGTCACTCCTCCCACAAACAGTTACTGATTTTCCTTGTTCAACTGACTGTGTCGACAGACATAACATGAATTACCTCATTTAAGTTTGTCCTCGTTTAAATATCAAACCAGTTTCCTGGGCGATACAGGATAGTTTATAGTTTAACGTCTTTTTTTCTGTTTACTACATAAAGGAAGTTTTATGATGTTACACTAAGAAAATCTTACTTTATTGCCAATTACAAAATTTGTACTAAAGAATTCATCTGGAAAAATAAAGTCCAGAACTCAGCAGGAGCATATCTGTATTTAGCACCTTGCAAAACCAAACCAGGGTCAACCCACATTTTCATGCAGCCACCTTCTCAAGAGGTGGGAAGCAGCAGCTGTCAACAGCTATTACACCAAAGATGATCACAGAAGGCAAGAATGATGCATCCAAGGGACCCTGCAGCTGTTAGTGGTATCCCAGGATGAGAATCCAAACTAACCACACAAAAGTCTCATCATACCTATACTAACACGCTTGAGTAGCTCTATTCCATACAGATTGCTTCACTAACGTTAATGGAAGCCATCAGCCATGTAATAATGTATGTACATGTTCTGCAGAAACAAGCCTCAAGTTGCAGTTTTAGTAGTGAGGAGTTCTAGGTTAAGCGGTGAATCTATCACCATAAAACCTCTGTTGACAAGTAAATACCTACCACTTTCTCACAACAATTTCCTTTATACAGACACTTTGTGTCTTTTGGGGCCCAATTCTAAACAAGTTAGCATGCATGCTCAAATTCATGACTCTCTGTTCTCCCAGAGAAGTAATTTTATCCCCAGTAAACAAAAGATCATCATAACACACAACTGACTTGTGTTTCTCCTTAGAATTGCCATCAGAATGAGAGTGAGTAACAGTAAGAAAGAAAATCTCACATGCAGTGTAAACATTTGCAATAGTGTCTAGACCACAGGTAAATTAAGAAGAAAACAATTCCTTTTGAAGCCAGTACTACTGTTTTTAATACCTGTAGTGTGGAAAGGTGTGTTTGTCGGGACAACAGGGCTTTTTCTTGCTCTGAAGGATAAGCATTGTATCGGTGCTCATACAGCCAGTCCCGAAGAATCTGCACAGATTCCTTGGGCAGGTTGCCACGTCTTCTCCGTTTGCCTGAGCCAGCAGATGAGGAAAGATCCAATGGGACATCCATAGTGTCATCATCCTCCGTTTCACTGCCCGATATTGCAACTACACCTAGAATTACAAGACAAGAACAATCAGCCATCTAAATCTGTAAACTACTCAGCTCCAGCATTCTGTGGTTCACACATTTTTATTACATTAACTGTCTTTACTATGAATCATGGTACGTATAGCCTCCTATATAAGATTTGTCCTGTAGTGTTAACTTGACAAGCTGTAGCTTTTCTGTCAGTTGAACAAAAAGTAGCACCAATGCTCTGTTCCTAAAGGAATTCTCTTCAAACCCTCATTTTCTTGCTCCTCTAGCAACCTTTTATCTGCTGCACGTTACTAGATAGCTTCTATATAATACCAACATTGTCCAAATTTGCTTGCTATGGTATGCATCCAACACTTTTCTTAAGGGATAACTATCCAGCTGCTGGGCAAAAGGTCAATAAGCAAGAACTTAAAACACCCAACTCAAGCAATGGGTTATTTAATTTCTTCTTAACAGGCTCCTGGGAGAGACAGCTTGAAGATTTTGTATATTTATAGCTCATTCAAAATACACTAATAAAAACTAATAGCACAAGAAAATAAAGGGGGAAATTGTGCCTGCCCCTACCAGAGTGGATTTTCACTTAGGAAGGAAACAAAAAGTGTAGGCAAAGAAAAGAATCACTTGCTTAAGAGTCCATCAGTTTACTGGGAGATTAACTTAATTAATGTTTGGGTGGGTTCGTTTGTTTCTTTAAGTACCATTTTGCATCCTGATTATTTTTTCAACTTCATGGTTTTCATCTGGTATTTTAATCTGTGGAAATGTGTGTTCTGTGCTACACTTACTACAAAGGCTCCAGATTTACAAGTTAACTACATACCTTTTTCCTTCAACACAAAGCAAAGCACAGATTTCAGAATTTGATTATCCCTTTATATATACACCACACAACTAGTAACATGAAGCTATGGTATGTAAATAAAATTAGGACAAACAAAAGTACAGTTAGGAAGACTACAATTCTACTTCTTTGGTAGGATATACAAGTAGTACTGCACAATACAAAGAAAACCATACTTTAAATACTCACCAGGTTAAGCTTATCAGAAATGTTAGTAATCTGACAAACTGTATGTCAACCCAAGTAAGATATCACCCATTTTCAAACAGCAGAATACTAATTTCAATTGAAATTATACTGGTTTTCAGAAGCCCTTTCTAGAAACTATGTAAGGAAAGCAAGCCCTTAATCTGTGTTTTGAACTTAGATTGGAAGTGGGGGTGGAGGAAACCTGCTCATTCATAACATCAAAACTAAATACCTTAACAGTAAAAGCAAGTTAAATGTCAAAAGTAATTGTTTTATGTAGGCAACCCACCCATAATTCAAGAATTCTGTTTAAGGAAACAAAGTCAGCTCTGAAATAAAAGAAACATGTCTGTGAAAATATGAAACTATATAAAGCTATAATTATAAGCATAAGCAAAGAAACAGAAGGAATTAATGTCATTTAAGAAAAAAAAACAAAACCAAACCAACCAAACAAAAAAAAAAACAAACCCCACAACCAAACAACCCCCATAAAAGAAACCCCGAACTCAAAAAAACAAACCAAAACACAAATGTGTGAGTGTGCAAGCTTTACTTAATACTTGGGGGACGGGGAGTGGAGCAGAGGAGGACCTTTCCCCACACATCTAAACTTTAGCCAAAGCTGACATGGTGAATTATTCTCTCCTTCCCCTATTTATGCATAGTGCCAACATCCTTAAATGAAGCTTAAGTTGTCTGAATTTCAATGCACATTTTTGATAGGCAAGCATTCCCAGCAGGATCATCAATCTGCAATTTGTCTGGCATAGTTACTTCAGTAACTTACTTAGTATTGTTTTCATTCTCCCAACTGCTGATTTATGTAACCGACAAACACCAAACTGACATACCAAATTTTTCCAGTGATGATTAGCTACAGAAATTATCCAGTCACAGAACAGGAACAATAGGACAATATTTAAGTAGCCAACACAAGATAAACTCTGAATTATGTAAACAGGTTTTTAACTCATGTAGAAACTATGTCGAGTTTACTTTAAAATGATTCTGAGCAAACCACTTTGTATTTGTCATAGCTTCACAGAAAGTGTTGCCATGCCTGCAACCTAACCTGAGAACATGCCATGCACAATGGGCTCCTGGAGCCATGCAGAGCACTTCTTGGAACAAAGATCCTGCACAGACAACATGATGGCTCCGCAAAGGAGCTCATCCCTTTTAAATTGAACTTTAAAACTAGCTAAAACTAGCCTACACTGTTCAGACAATGTTTTCAAGTGCAGTGTTCTTTTCTTGCTCGTCAGAAACCGTATGCGTTGCAGCACTTCAGTGGGTCGGGTTTTTTGTTTGTTTTCAAGTGTAATAGGCAGCAAGTCAGGACTTTGTAAAACAGGGAGAGGCCAACAGCAAGGGCTAGAAATAAGAGAGAAGCCAAAGAAGCTTCTCCTATGAGAAAGTTAGGTGTCTAATGCTTTGAGAGCCATGTTTAAGCAGCATAACAAAAAAAAAACCTCCAGGCACACACCACCCTGTCTGGAGTAACCTCTCCAAGATCTAACCCACAGCTAAAAGACTCCACAGACATCTCTCTGAATTTGAGAAAATTGACTTGACAGGCACAACTTCTAGAAGTGTTGCTCTTTTTCACTCAGAAGTGGCAAAATACTGTGCGAATGCCAGCAGCACAAAAATATTTTTTTTCTATTTTGCAAACAAGATCTTTTGCTAAAGTAAAAATTGCCGTCTAACTGTAACTTACCTAGCAAGAAATGAGTCAACAGCAGAGCCTGCCCTTTGACCTGCTCGCTTAGTGTGATATTAATTGACACAGTAAGTTAGTGACACAAAGCAGGTTTTGGCTAAGGAGGAAACTCAGTGTAGTACAACTTCTCATTTAAATGAGCTCATTTAAATAGATCATCAGCCCTCTGAACTTGCGGGAGATCTCTCTGGCACGGTACAGAATGAGCAGCAACAGGAAGTCGTGACTAGAAATCTCACACTACCTCAGCTGATATATTTTTTTTTACTGGAGCAGGAGCCACGTTGTTGCTGTCAAGGCTCTGTTTTCATTAAAGCATTTCTGCTGATCACAACCCAGCTTTGTTTTTCTGTCTTGTTAGTAATCAGGCTATTTGCTGCTGGTTTCCTGTTTTAACAGGGCCCAACTGAAAAGGCTTCTGGCCAGGCTCCACAACTGGACCATCGGCTTACTGTTATTTACACCCAGAATAAAGGCTTGTGGACACAACGTGTAGCCCCAGCTGACCTACTAATTTATTTTGTCTTAATAGCAGGCTAGCACCAGCTTATTTTTGATTAAATGTATTCTGGGGGAAACAAACAGAAAAATTGCTTTTACAGGACTAAAGCACCACAAGTTAAATTTGCAGAGGTCTGGGAAACAATACAAAATCCCAGTTCTCCATTCCTGCTCACTCAGATGAGCAGTCCATGCTGTTAATGACCCAAGAACTACATGATCAGCATTCCTTCTTTATAAATTACTTTATCCTCCTGGCTTCCCAGCTGAAGTCATATACATGATTGAATGTGTTGTTGCACTGTATCACAGCCCAAAGACTTTACAGGTCCTCCTGTAATCAGCTCAGGGAAGATTACACCTAGGATCTCGAGTCTAGGCTCAACACTCAACCGTTAACAACTTGAAACAACTCGAGTAGAAGTAGTAGGCAGTGATGACTAAAGCTGATTTCAAAATAATCTACTGCTGCTTAAAATGACATGCTGAAATACTCTGAGGAGGAGGACAAAATATTTGGAGAGGCTGAGACAAATGAAACAGAAGTTAAGCAAATGAAAAAAAATTTAGGCAGAGTATCAGGAAAAAAAAAAACCAACAACTGTCCCATTGTGTCGAGGAAGAGCTTCACGGAGGAAGTGGCAGAATCCAATTGTTATTCAAAATAGGACAAAGTATACCACAAGGAACAATCTCTGCCCTCGTTAAGACTGGATGGACAAAAACCACCTATGGAAAATCTCCCGCCCCCTTAGGGTTCTCTGAATTTCTTAAGCACAGATAAACAAAACCAGTTCCCATCTAAGGCCCCAATCCTGTTGTAACCAAGTTCAGTAGGATTCCTCACATGTAGAAACTTGAGCACATGCCTGTGTCTTTGCGAGACTGTATTCTAGATCAGCTAATTAACAAGTATGATTGCTATCACGCTATTATTTGTAAATGAAACTATCCACAAGAGTCCTGAGGGTTTTCATACACAGCCTGTTAGCAAAAAAAAAAAAAAAAGAAGCCCCACAACAAAAACACCCCCCAAACAATAACAAAATCCAACACACAAAAAAAACCCTAAAATTTAATGCGAGTTTAAAATCCAACAAAAATAAATTAGCTTAGAATTACTCATAAGTAACCAAGACCTACAAAGCTACAAGGATGCAAAAGGGAATTTCCACAATATTAAAAAAAAAAAAAAAAGCCAAGCAACTTTTTCCTCTAAAGTTTCAGAATTGAGGAACCAGTTTATTTGTTTTCCTCTGCATTTCACAGCTTATGCTCTATCACTTCTAAAGCGGCCAGATTTGGCTGTGCAATACTTTTTTCGTACACTCCCCCCCCCCCCCCTTGAAACGAGACTTTTATAGGAGTGTAACCAAGAAAGCTCTAACAAAGTCACTCTTTGAAACTTCCTGAATGTGCCTCAAATGCCAGGAGGTCACAAATAACTACAAGCCCAACCTTTAGTAAAACAAAGGCACCCTAGCCGTCACATCTTTTTTTAAAAGTTTTGGTCTTTGTCTCCTCACCTTTTAATTTCTGCCACGCAAACCCCAGGCCCATGGCCCCTCTCAAAAGTTCTCCCTCCTGCCTGTCACCTTTCATTGTTTCTATTGTTTCAGCCCAGGACTTGCAATCCTCAAAGCAGATCTCTCCCCCTCTCACACACAGATACACACACAAAGCCCTCCACATGCATACCTAGAAACTACGTCAGCGTTTTTCGCACGCATTTATTTCGGCGGGGGGAGGGGGGCTGGTAAGAACAACAGTTGAAAGTGCGGAGAGTTTGGTATTTTACCAACCAGCAGCTGCCCTCGGGGACAGAAGTCTGAACAATGGAAGCAACAGCAGACAGGAAACCAGCTCACCACTGCTGTGCAAATAGGGAGCATAGGAATGTCCTAAAAATAACTGGGCTAAATTAATTCAGTGAAACCAAGAAAAAAAAAAAAAACAACCAACAGTAAAATCCCAACCAAACCCCCCTGCTAGCAATAGGGTTAACAATCTCAGCCTGCCTCGGGCGAGCGGAGGGCTCCGGAGCTCCTGCGGTTAGTGTCTCCAAGCACAGCAGCCCCACGCTACAATCCCGGACAGGCGCCCGGCTCCTGTCCTGCGGGAGCTCCGCTCGCGCCAGTACCACCCGCTCCTTAAACTTCGTCTTTGTGGCTTAATTCCCTTTGTGTGCTTGCCTCTCAGCTGAATGGCGCTTCCAAAACTTCTTAAAAGGGTCTACGAACCATACTAGTACACCGTGTTTCCAAAAGCCCTATGATTTCACGAACTGTATATGCATTAATTGCTCTAAGGATACTAACAATGAGAGAGGCTGCTCTACTACCGAGCCGCAGGAATGCGTAGTAGGGGAAAAACAGAACAACTCTGGAGTACTGAACATGCGCACTGCTGCCCTCTAACCCTGCACTTCGGGTAATTTAATGGTCTTCGAATACAAAACACCCTTCGTCCCACACTACCGACTGGCAAATCGCAACTGAAGGGACACTGCGTTGCTATAAACTTCTTTCCACCCAGCGCAGATGTGCTAAACCTGAAAGCACGTTCCGCGCCTTTGTGGCCAAACTCTCATTTAAAGACACCTATAGCACCACAAGCGTAATGAGCAACAATCCTCTAACTGTAAAGTTTGTCTGATTGAAAATTAACACAAAGAAAACTTAAAAAGCCTTGGCTTTATGAGGAAAAAACAAGTCTTTCTCCTTTTAACCCTACCTGTACCGAAACTTTTGTACTTTTTTCTTTCTCTTTTACCCATTTAAAGGAATGAAAAAGCAGTAACTTCCAGCAAAACACCGCAACCGAGGGTGCGGATGGGGTCTGGTACCCTCAGGCCGACCCCCCCCCCCCCCGCCAGCCCCCAGACCCACGCTGCCAAGAACAAAGAGCTGGCGGGCACCGACAGGTCCCGGTGCTAGGAGTTGCGGACGGCACCGCTTCCCTCACACCAAGTTGGGAAAAACGACCCGCACCTTCGTTCCCCCCTTGCCGGACGGCTGGCTCGGAGCAGAAAATCGACAGAAAACGTTTCATGGAAAGAAGGGGATCGGCGAAGGGAGCGAAAACAAAACTTCGCGGAGGCAAAAGGCGGGCGGCTGAACATGTTTCTGACAGGGAGCCAGCGGAGCGGAGAGGCGGCCGCCTCCAAACAGCCGCCCTGCATGTTTTGTCTGGGAGCGAAGCATCCACTGCCATCTTCCACAGGAGCTCGGCCAGGGGTAGGGGGTGCCACTGGGGTGAAAACGGCCGAGAGGAAAAACAGACTCCGTCTAGCTTGGCAACAGCCCCCCCCCCCCCCCTTCACCTCCATTCCCCGAACCCCGTCCCCGCAAGACGGCTGCCTAGCACGTCGCACCACCGCTACCTTTTTTACTTTTCATCTTGATCACGAGGACCACCGGACACTCCGCACACCAACCCAAGTTTCTCTCCCTTTGCCGGACGCCGCTCCCCTTTTAAACTCGGCACGGAGGAGGAGAAAGACGACGACGAAGAAAGAAGAAACACCGCAGCGTAGCCAGGCGCCCAGTCCGGGGCCGCGCTGCTGTCACCAGGAGCCTCAGGGCTCTGCCTCCCCGGGGGTTTTCTGGTGCGGCCGCTGGCGGGGTGGGCTTTCCTTCCCCCGTCCCTTTGTTCCCTTCTGCTGGCTATTGGCCCCGGCTTGTTAAAGTGAGGAAAGGCACGGGAGGAAAAGGTACACAGCGCCCGCCCTCCCCCTCCTCCCCGCAGCGAGTACGGGAGAGTAACCGAGCGCTGCACTGGCACTCGCGGCTGCCTCCTCCTCCTTTCTCCTCCCCTCCCGGGCTGCTGTGGCTCTGTCAGACGGCAGGGGAGGGACGGGCCGGGGGGGGGGGGGGGGGGGACAGACACGTACCCGCTTGCTCATGCACACACAAGAGCACTCCGTGCCTCCTGCTCCCTCGCCTTTCTTCCAGGCAGACGTTTGATCATTAAACTGGAAGGAGATAGGGGGCGGGGGAGGGAGATTTTGACAGCTGCCCTTGACTAGCTTCCTCCTGTTGCTGCCGGACGAACCACCCACTCCTTCGCCTGAATAGAGAGAAGAAAAAGAGGACGGTACCGCAGGAGAAGGAGCCTTCCAAAGACCAACGGGCCCCGCCGACTCCCCTACCCGGTGTCCCCTGAAGGGCCTGGCGGCGGGTGCTTCGCACCCCAACCGCAATCCCCCGATGGCACCGAACGAGCCCCGTCCTTCTGGCGGTCCCTTGCCTCTCCCGTGGGGAAGGCGAGCCCCGTTTCTGGGGTTATTTATACAGCAGCTCGTAAAGCTTGTTTTTCTTTCCCTCAAGCTCCCAACCCGGTGGATGTTGCTGTGACACACGCTCATAGCTGTGAAAGCGCACAGCCTCCCATCCTGACTCGTCCCTGAGAGGCGAGCACGCGTTGCAGCAACAGTTTATTTTCCTCCGGGATGGGAAACGCGGGGCCGGCGAGTCGATCCCCGCCGCCCCCCGCCCCAGCGATATGACGGGGAACCCTTCGGCGCCGGGCTCAGACTTCAAAGTGCTGAGCTCTGGGCTGACGGGCGACACGGGAAGGTTTCGGCATGGAAAACAAAACAAACTGCCGTGCCCCACAAACGCGTTTGTATCGGTCCCACACCGCCACGTGCTGGGCCGTTGGCGGGCGAGGAGGAGCTCGGGGTGGGGGGAAAGCAAGCAAACGCTTTAAACGGCTGATGAAATAATGAATCCCTACAGCAGCGCAGAGCTCCCTCCCTCCTTCCTTCCCCCGCTCTCCCGCCCTGGTGGCGCGGGCATCCACACAAACACGCATTCACAGCCGAAGGGGAAGCAACAGCATCTTAACAGCCCCCTCCCCCCCGGTACCTTGTAACTATTTTTATGTGCCGCAATTACCGCGACCTTGCTGGAGATAAAACAGCTGTTACATCCTGAACGGGGAACGTGGTAGGGGGAGCGGCTGGCGCGTCACGGCAGTTGACAAGGCCCCGGTGTGGGGCCGCTGGCTACGTTGTGTTAGGGCTGCCAGTTGCCGTGCTGGGCACACTGACTCACGGCGCCGCGGGCCCGCGCTGAGCTGAGCTGAGGTGACGCGAGGTGTTGTTCCGCCCGGCGCTGAACTGAGCGCCCCGGCGGTCAGCGCGAGCCGGGCCGTTACCGGCCGCCCAAGCGCCTTCCGCGGGGATGAGGTAGGGGCGCGCACTCGCCCTCCCTCAGGGTTCACCTTCCCGCCGCGTTGCCGGCATCGGCCCTTCGGTTGTGTGCGGTGCGGTTCGGTTCGCGCCCGTGCCGCTGTGAGGGACAGGCTGGTGAAGGGCGGGTGTTTTTAACGTGACAAGAAGCGAGCCGGGTCTCTGAGGGACCGGTGGCTCGGGGGGGGGGGGGTGGTGTGCGCACACGCCGCCGTGTTTTGTTGAGGGTTTCTTTCCTGGTTTGTTGTTGTTTAAAGTCCTGGTGCCCAGCTGCGAGGGCTGACTCTTCCAGCGGGGCGCTTGAGCGTTCAGGCACGGTCACGGGGAAAAAAAAAGTAATTACGGGAAGTTGACAAAAAGCACGTTAAGGGTTTGAAGAGATTTCCCTTTCTCCACACCGCCCGAGCTGCCTGACGCTTGCTCGTTGTCCTAGGGACTGCTGGCAGATTGGGAAACAAACTCACTCTCCACCCCCGCCTTTTTTTTTTCCTGTTTGTTTTTTAGGTTTGTTTGGGTTGAGGTTTTTTGTTTGGTTTTAGCAAGGTCACTTTTGGGGGGGGGAGGGGATAATTTTATTTTAATACTGAGATCCAGCCCGCTTTTAAAAGTGTTAGAAACAGCCTTTCTAGCTCTGTTGGAATGTGGGTTCCTAGGAATTTTCTCAAGGGACGGTAGAAAACTGGTTTTGACTTCAGGTGGCAGATTTTTAGCTAGGAGGAGCAGCCAGTGGGTCAGGCGTGTTCATGTGTAGCTCCCCAGGTAAAAAAGGCAGAGAGAGGCTTTTTTCAACCGACATTCTTCATGGATTTGAGTATGGAGGGGCGTGTCCATAGTTGGGACCGCTGGTAAGGACAGAAAGTGGGCTTGTGCAGCGCGCCTTTCAGTTGTTGCCTAGGACAGTACCACGGGTCTGCCTACGAATTCTGTCACTTGAAGGCTGATGTGTTTGAGGTGGTAAGGTGGATAAGGTTTGCAAAAATGTAGGACGGGTGAAAGAAAACCCCTGCAACCTTCTTTACCAGTTAGAGTTGTCTCAGGTGTGCTGAGGCTTTCACCATTTTGCGAAACCCTCAACACACCTGAAACAAGTTTGCATCTAAAGAGAGCACAGGTGATGCTCTTTAGGAAATATCTTGGGTTTAGTATACTAGACTTTAGCCTAGGCATTTAAAACCCTTGTAAGTTAATAATAGCTTACAGTATTAGATCCAGAAATTTTCCTTCTGGACGAAAATCAGAGTATCGCATGGGTTTGGGTGTGGTAGAGTTTTCAGTGACCACTACCTTGAACTAAGTTCAGACTTCAAAGCTGAGAAGACATGGTCCTTAAGGGGTCGATTTATTGCTATATGTGAAAATACCTAGAAAACAGATAGATTGAAGTGTATAATCTGTTTTTTATTTAAGTATGACAAGGAAATTTACTGATCTCAAGTCTAAGGAACAGAGCAACTTGATTTTTAGAATGAATGCAGTAAGATGGTGGTCCGTAAGTTGTGGTGGGTGTTGGTATGGGCTGTTGCTTGCAGGTTATTATGATAAGTAACTTTCCACAGTTTTTCTTTTCCCTTGGCATGCTGGTGAAGTTGTGTTTCTTAGTGTTATCTAATCTGCTGGAGCTGCATCATCAGCGCTAATAATTGTATCTCACAAGCAACTCACGCTGCTCACTGAGCAACTTTGGTATCTGTGCAGCTCCTTGGATAAGTAGGGGTATACACATGCATCAAGATGCATCTGTGCCAACAGGTTTGAACAGATTGGTTTAGTCAGAGCAAGTTCAGCTCTGTCTGGAACCTGTCTGCATAGGCATGCTGTTAAGTATTTGTAAAACTGGATTTCAAAAAGGGAGAGAAATAAAACTGGAGGGGCTAGATTTTGAATTGCTTGATGATTGTTCATATCATAGGTTTATCAATGTTCTGTTTCTCTGTCCTGTCATGCTTTCATGTATGACATCTTGCACAACTAATTTCATGTTTCTTACAAGTGCTTTGCTTTAAGATGTTGGGATTATGTTTGCCTAGCTATTACTAACATTTCCAAAGCCATGTTTTTAGCATAGAAATTGTTAAGGGAAGTACTCTGGAAACTTGAGACCTAGGCATCTCAGGCTTGTGGATTTTCGTTATACTGTTTGTTCCAGTTTCTTATTTATAAACTGCAGAGTATATCTCTCCCTCTGCACTTTATAGGATATTATGAAAATAAACTCATTGATATTTGTGGAGCACTCAAATGCCATTGAAATGTTTCTGAGAAAATTTATTCCTTTATATTCAGAACAGAATGAAGCAGCATGCAGAAAATTAAGCAGGCCATACCTTCAGCAGTGAAAATAAAGCAGTGTAACAAATAACCAGTTTTCCAGTGAAAAAAAAAAAAATCTGTCCTATGCATGAAAACCCAGGAATTGCTACTGTGGGTCACAGCCATTCTTCACCTGTTCTTATCAATGATGTTGACTAGTCTCAGATGTGTCTGAGGAAAAGGAGAGGCTATAGAAGGCAGATGTGAGGTAATACTATCCCACAGATGTCCCGTCCAAATCTTAAATAGCTGAATACAAGCACTGGAGCAATAGTTAAATATAACTTTGAATTTTGTGACTCAGATAGCTGGGTGGTCTTTATACTGGTATAAAAGTTTAATATCTCTATAGCATTAAAACCCTGTAATGGCAGTCGGTTGCAGAGTACCATTGTGAGTTACATTAAAAACGCATCTTTAGATTTTTTCTTATGTATTCATTGATTATCCTCTTGTGTTTTGACACAATGAAAACAAGTTCCTACTTCCTGCTTTCTCTGTACCATTCATTATTTTATATACTTCCATCATGTCTGCTTCCTGAGGTAAAATTTTTCACTCTTTTCAATCTCTTTTCCTATGAGAATTATTTCCAGCTTTTGATCATTGCCTTGCTTCTCTCTCAGGTCTGTTTAGTTCTACAATATTCTATTTTTCGGCAAGGGTGACTTATGCTGCATGCAGTATTCCAAGCAAGGTTATGCCTCTGATTACAATATATATGTATTTGATATTACTCCCTGACCTATTTCTTATGGAATCCAGCATGTTAGGCTTTATCTTTTGCTGCTGCTACATACTGAGTACAGGGCTCTATCGACTTTGGAGGCTATATAGCTTGTTTGAAGTTTGTCTTGTGCACAGTTGAATCTCAGTGCCGAATGTCTTTTGTCATTGCACTGTTCATTCATTTAACAGAAGTCATACTGAAGTTACTCACAAATCCTCCTTTTCCCAAATATGTTTTTCATAGCTTCAGACTGTGGCACCTCACTATTCTTCACCTGGTCCTATTTCTTCCTTTCTTGGTTGTCTGAGCTAATGTATTAACACTGGACTGAGCATAAGGCCTGGAAGCACCGTGCTGTTAACGTTGTAATAAAAACCAACTTTCTCTTGCTTGAACCAGATACTAATTCATGACAATAATTTGCCTTTTTGCCCTAGCATCTTACTTGTTCCTTCGGTAGCTCTTTGCATGGAATCTTGTCAAATACCCTTTGGAAGTCTAAATAAATTATGCCAACCAGCTGTGCTCCCATATTTGGATTTCATGTTTCCCTTGCAAAAAGGATAAATCAAAGTCATGAAAACAATCCTAAGATTTCAGAACTTCTACATGAGAGACTTTGCAACTAGGACATACTTTTCACTTTTTTTTATATGAGCATTCTTGTGGTTATTAATGATCAAACAAGAACAAAAGCCCCAGGAATTCTTTATGGAGAATCACACAGGCTCCTCTCTGATATAGCATCAGGTTTACAAGCTTTTCATTCTCGGCATGGACTTCAGTACCATCTCTAAGAGGCAGCAGTTACCATTCCTGATGAGGATCAGCTGCTGGAGTGCTCTGTACTTGTTGCTGGGGTTTTCAGGCCTTTACTGGCAAAGGGGAGTTATGGCTTCTCTAGCAGGTTCTAGTGCAGTCTTTCTCTGGGGCCTCATTCAGCTCTTCCCTGTGCCAGCCCATGCTGCCTCAGCTCCACATCGTCATGCCCCATATCTGTGCTTCTGTATAAGCCTACGGAAAGATAATACTCTGATTACTGTAGGGACAACTTAAGTACATACAGTAATGTTAGCTATTAGAAGACAATGCATAAACTTTGTAAGTGACATAATCGCACACTGAGACTAAAAGCTGTACAGCTACTCTGGGGAGTCACTTATGAAACTTGCATTAACGTAAAAGCAATTTCTTCTTCATAGCTTTAAGTCAGATCTCTGTGTAAAATTAAAAAAAAAGTGAATTGTAGGTTTAATCTTGCTTGGAGTAATAGTGTTCACTTTCAGGTTTGGACTTAAAAATTTGACAAGGAACAGACCTTGTATTCCTTCCACTTATTCAGAAATTATAGCTTTTGTCCACCCCAGGCACATCTCATAACGGCTTTGTCCTCTTGCCTTGGAGGTGGGGCTTTGGCTCTGTTTTCCTTTGTGGTATGCAAGTGAGCATATCAAAATCAGCATGACAAATGGCATGATCATTGACAGTCTCAGTTTAGCTCAAGAACTTGGGGCATGCAAGGAAACAGATCCCTCTTTCCTGAAATTTGAAACTGTGGGTGCAATTTTGCAATTTGTGCAATCAGTTTTTGCTTATCTGTAAGAAGTTAAGCAAGTAAAGCGGGTATGGCTGACAAAAGAAAATATGTGGGTTTAGGGATTTTTTGTCTAGTTTTTTTTTAATAGTGGGATGACTAACTTGTTTTTACCACAGACTGGTTAGTGCATAGCAAGGGCAAGGCGGGAGGTTTACTGCAGGTGCCCTAAGCAAGAGTGACCTCACTTATCTGACCTTGTCTAACTAAATAGTGAAATGTCTATCTCCACTTAAGTTTTTGCATCAGCAAACTGTATCTAGCTATACAAAAATCACTGTATAAATCAACAACAACAAAACAAAAGCCTAAGAGATGTTTACACTTGATAGCTGATCTATTTTCAGGGCAGAATGTTAAATAACTCTTCATAACTATGTCTGGGCACTTTTATTCTGTTTAGTGTAGTCTACTCTACACAAAATAACTTAATGATCAGCCAAGTATTTTCTTAGTTGAGTCTATGCTAAAAGTTTGGTTTGTTTTTTATATTTAAGGAGCAGTGTCTCAAATTATTTCTGTCCTTGGAAGACAAGGTTAACTTTGCCTTGCAGAAGTACAAGCAATGCAATCATAATGAATGAAATATACTAATTCCACTAAACATTATTTGGTGTAACAGTAAATAACTTATTTAGTTTTTGTATGATGAAAAAACTAACTTGTAATACTTGTTACAGCTGTGAACTAAGGAAATAATGGTACCGTATCTTAATATTTTGGGAATAGAAAGTTCTTGCTAAGGATGCTCTGTCACCATTCCCTGCCATAAGGGGGGAAGGCTTGTGTAGGAAATGCTGCCTTCTGGGACTGCAGATTTTTCCATGCCTTTTTAGCTGAATGTAAATGTGAATGTTGGTTATTAGGTATAACAGTACAGAAAATAAAAATATTTAGGTCTACAACCTTATGTTCAACAAAGATTGAAAAGGATGTAGACTTGTTAAAAGTAGTGGGATTTTATGACAGGCCACAATTAAACACTGTGTACTGAATGTAGAAAAGCATTTACTGTATGCTAAAAACTCTGTGCTGTACCTGCTCTGAATATATGTTGGGAGCTTTGTTTTGAAAGCTGTCAGCTTTTTATTTTCATAGGTATTGCATCCACTTTATTATTTTTACTACTGCAATTGTTTTGTTAATCCTCAGTGTTACACAATTTAAAATACACAAATTAATTATTCTAAGCTGGGTGTAATTTTTACATATTTAACTGCAAACGAGATACTCTTTTCAATATTGTAGATGCATTACAGAGATTTTGAGTGACTAATCAAATTTACAGCTTTATGGCATAGGTTCATCAATTGAGCATATAAGCAGGCTATTAATGTTATCTTATTTACTAAGCATTTATGTACATACTAAGCTAAACAGATTCAGTGACTGAGATGCAAGTGTGTAAAATTAGGGACTATGCATTTGTCTTGCAGGTGACACTGGTGAGCTGATCTTTTCACCTGGGATCCACCATGAAAAGGTGTCTGATGATTAAGGAAGACTTGGATTTTCACTGCTCAAAAAGGTGTGTGAGGTTTTTAAAGTGACAGGTAATGGGTGTTGACTAGCTTTCTCTAAAATTCTAGACATAGCCTGAGGCCCTAGTCTTCTCAAAGCGAATGCACCTTATGATGATTTGGGACTGTGTCTGTCTGCAGTTATAATGTAGGGCATCAAGAAAGATTGCTAAACCTGCATGTGGCCCATCCAGGTGTGAGTATTAGGAGGCAATGAGAGTGCTACACTCTAAGAAAATTAATTTAAACAAGATTTTGTTGGTTTTAGGGAGGATCACAGGAATTGGATTGGTGCTTCTGCTCTCCCACACTGAGTACTTCTGTACTAGGAAGAATAAGTCACATGTTGGTGCTTGATTTTAAGACCCAAATCCTGAAGGTTTGCAGATAAAGGAGGATTGAGCAGGGGAGAGATACAGGAGTGCATGCTCTCTGTCTTCAGTAGTGCTGACACTTCTGATGTCTGCATGGGCTTTCTCCTTTCACTGCTTTCACTTTCACGTGCTCTTTCTACACGTGATCATCAGGATGTTTCTTACGAATTTTGAAGTAAAATAATGCACCCTACAGAATTGTTGGTTTGGTTTTGTGTTGGGGATTTTTTTGTGGTTTTGTTTTTTTTGTTTTTTTTTTGTTTTGTTTTTGATTTTTTTTTTTTTTTTTTTTGTTGGTTGATTTGTTGTGTGGTTGGTTTTTGGGCTTTATTTTTTCCTTTTTTTTTGGTTAAACTATGATGTGTTGGTGGAGTTTAAACTGTAACCTAGGAGCATCCCCAGGATTGGATTTTTGGCACATTGCGCTTAGATAAGGGTATTCTCTGGGCAGTCCATGAGCAGCTTGAGACAGCTAGTTTATTTTGTGAAGGTCTGAGGCAGCCTGTCACCAAGTAATCTTTCACAATGTCCAAAATGAATGTAAGGGATCATGGATCTCGAAACACAGTGACCCTATGAATATCTGTCTTGGGCACAGCATGGGACCTGTGACAGCCCTTAACTGTAAGTAGTGTGAGAAGCCTTATGTAAAGCAAGTGACATTCTGGCAGGCAGTCCCTAAAACTGTGTTATAAGCATTTGCTTTTGTGGGATTTGGGCACTTGGATGTTTTTAGAGTGTAAATACTCCAATAGTCCTTCATGTAAATATTTTTGTGATAGTCTTTGCGATTTTAGAAGTCTTTGGGAGTCTTTAAATCAACTTTATATAAAATAACTTTAAATAAAGTTATCTCAAAATCCAGAAATCTTGAGGAACATTCTCAGGACTTCTTAGGTGCTCTGTGGCCTGCATGATTAGCTGTGTGGTAGGAGTCATAGCCGGGGGGGGGGGCGGGGTAACTGCCCTGGGGGCTCAGGGAAATTGTGGTTATGTATTAGGAGATGCTTAAGGTAGAAGCAGTTGAGCTTGGATCCTCAGTGTAAAGTTAGTATATAACAGCCTAAACTTTTAGCGTGAATGTTTCATGTCTTGATAAGAAGCAGTCTCTGGACACTTAAGTGAAACTACATAAACAAGCTGTACATCCTCATGGAGCAAATATAAATCTTTACACAGCTGTTAATCATATATTTATCTGTTAACTATTAAGACACTAAAAACTGTTCTTCCACTTTCCATTGCAGTTAAAAGATGTAGTAAGAGCTACTATCCTAATAACAGCAAGTATTAGAATCTCTTGTACCTGCCCCACCTCTGTACCCATTATGAGATGTAACAAAACCTGAGTCTGAGTCATTAGTCTCCTGAGGAGCTGGAATTTAATCACCTGGATGCTTAACAGTCTTATGTGGGATCATCAAATGGCTAAGGATCTGACTTCAGCTGTTCAGAGATAAACTTCAGGTGTGGAGATATTTGATTAACTGGTTAGTCCTGAAAAGTGGAAGGAAGAAGGCTACACCAAGTTCGAATGACTTTCAGTCTTTGTGTTGGGTTGTTTACATCTTTACAAGGTGCTAATTGTCTCTTACCTGTGTGTAGTTAAGGCAGATGATTGGCATCTATTTCAGTCTCTTGCAAGTGTGTCTGCAGACGCAAGATCTAAGCAAGCTGCATATAGTTAGGTCCTGGTTAGCACTTCTTTTCTTAAATCACATTAGTTTAAGACTGAGTAACTTCTCCTTGAAAACAGAACCTTTTAGCCTTAAATATGAAATGGAAATGTTGAAAGTTTTAAAAAAACTGTATTTTTGACTTTTCAGTGGAAAACTAATTGATGTTGAACCAATGCATGTGTTCTCACTAATTTCTCTGAAAAGAAGCTGCTGCAGGTTTAATACTAGATAAATAATGTATACCTGCAATAAACTCTAGTGGATGCAAAGCACTCTGTAACTGTGTGCTGTCGAATTGTTCACCCATACCTATTCATGTTAACATGTCTAATTCATGATAAAATATAGACGTACTCAACTGTGTGTGATTATGTCATGTGGTTAGTAGGAGCCATGTTGCCATGAGCAGTGCTGCTCAGGAGGGCAGTAGAGCAATAGCTGCTACTGTTGAATCTAATTTCTTCTAGAATAAAGAGTGTTTTAATCAGCAGTGATAACTGGATAGGCACCATGTTGTAAGTGGTGTACAATACTGAAATGGATATGACAACTACGGCCAAAGTGGTGATCAGTACTTACCCTTACTGAGGGTTTGGAAGATTTTTGGGGAAAAGAGGGGGTTTACGCAATGCATAGACTTACGAACTGTTTTATAATTAGAGAAGTTGGAAATGCTGAAATAAATTTAGCACATACCCTATTTTTTTTCTGTTTTAGTTTCCCCATTTAAATTGAAGTTTTAATCTGCTTCTTTAACACAAACACTGAACCACATACTTGAGACAGACAAAGATAAGGATTACGTAGGAGACAACAATCATTGCTTGTTAATTAATTTGGTGTCAGTAAATGTCATCTTCCAAAACATGATTTCTCAAATTGTTCAGTTTTTAGAAGTGGAATAGCTTTATATTTGTATAAAGGTTAAAACTCTGAGAGCTATTATTCATGCTGAATAGGGGATGTTGTATTAGACAGAATTTTGTTAAACGCAGAAGTTTAAATAAAGCTTGTTTACAGAGGTAAAACACTTAGAGAAAACTTACTTTCTTAGAGTGCTGTACTGTTGTTTTTTTTTTTTTGTAGTAATACAGTTAATGTATTGCTAGTTCTAGTATGAAAACATGAACATTGCTAATAAAACAATGTAATTTCATGGGTGTTATAAATCTAAGGAAAAGAACAATAACAGAATGTGTTTATTTAATATTTTTGCTGCCTCATATTAATATACAGAACACTTCAGGCTGATGTTCTGTTCTATATATATGGATGTGTCCTGGGTTTACAGAAATGTATGTGCTTACGAACATAGTTGTTCAGTGTAGTAACCTGTCCTGACTTTCACTGTTGGTGTGAATCTTAGAAGAAAGCACAAAGCAGAGAACATTTGCATACAAAGCTTTGCATGCATCCCTGTGTGTGTCTATATACACACAGTGCTGTTAGTTATATAATGGATTATTGACAATGGTATTTTATCAAAGTTCCTTGTCTTACAACACTAACTGTAATAATGCATGTACAGATGGAAGATACTATATTGCAAATTTGGTAACAATATTACTTTTGGAAGGCTTAGTGAATGGAATGCCTAGCAGAAACGATCATTCTGGTGTGCGTGTTGTGCCAGCATCTGCTGGGAAATGAGATGCCTCTGCAAAAGTTCTCTGTAGACTGGCCAAAATCTAAGTCTGTCCAAGTGACATGTATCACAGTAAATTAGTTTTGAGCGCTGCTAACAGTCTGATCTTGTCATTGTGGTGTTCCTGCTTCACAAGTTAGCTGAGATGTAAGGCTTACTATTGATGAAATACCACAGGAATATAGCCATACTACTTCTCACTCTCAAAGTTAGCTTCAGTCTTTCATGTCTGTGTAGCACAGTGTTACGCATGACAACTGCTAAGAAAGTCATGCTAATGATTATCTTCCACAATGCACTTTCCCTGAAGTGGCTGAACAACTTGCTATAGAGCATCCCTGTCAGGAATGCCAGTTATACTTCAAAAGTGTAAAATTTTGTACAAGTAAGATAAGGTTTGTTGGTGGCCCAGCGTCAAGAGTAGCTTAAGGCAGCAGAAAGGCAACCAGGTGTTGGTGGAGACAGAGACACAAGACTACCTGGAACTACAGACTGCATGGACAAGTAAGCTGCTTTGAGTGGGAGGCTAGTATTACTCAAGCAGCCACACTTTGGTGTTCAGATGGTCTTGGAGCGCAGTAGTGAGACTTTGGCCTAGTTCAGATTTATGGAAGGACTTCAGTGAGGCAAGGTGCTATAACTTCTAGTTCCGCTAGCATTCAAACTGCTGCACTTCTCATTTGTTTAATTTCTGCAATATGAATGGACCTGATCAGCAAATTAATAAAGTGTAACTTGCTTTGACAGAGCCAGAGGGAGTTATAAAAGAGATGTACTGGAGACAGGAGAACGAGACATGCTGCAGAAGAAGCAATGAGGCTCCCATGAGTGCCTGGTGATGTCATATTGTGCTTTGCTGTCAGTCTGTTGACTCGCATACACTTCAAAAGAGCTCTCTGGGGAGCCAGTTATACGAATCACTGGCTGATGCATTGTGAGTCACGACGGTACGTTTTTTTGTTTGGATGGGCCTTGAGTGTGCCTAACGCTGCTTTGAAACCTCATCTAATGCCATAGGAGCTTGGGGATTTCAATAAAAGTGGGGCAGTAGGGAAAACCTGCCTTCACAGATGTGATCAGTCAGAGCTGCTTCTGGGTTGGCTGGTCATCTGTTCTTTAGTATCATGTAGTGCTCCTGCTCAAAGCTGTGGAAGCAGCAAGAGCCATGAGTGTCATGTAAGCCAAATAGAGAAGAAACCGAAAACTGAGTGTTCTGTCTTCATGGCTTGTCTGAGGGAAGCTGCACTCCAAAGATCTGGCCAGGGCAAAGGCTTCTGAGGATTAGGGTAGGGGCTGCCAGGTGCTGCTTTGGCATGAAGTTTTCACTTAGGAATAAATGATTGCTGCTTCTTTAAGGAGCAGGCAGTAAAGGGTACCCAGTAGCACTGAATGAACCTTGAAATGTTACACTCATAACAAAGAAGAACTAGATGAGGAGTTTTATCTGGAATTCCTAAGGAAAGGAGGTTTACATAATTATGCTGCCCTTGTCTGCTGATCTGCCTGGGTTCCTCAGTAACTTGAGAAGTTGTAGGACAGTTTCAGGTGAATTTTTATGGAATTCAAATATCTTAAAGATGCTTTGTTCTTGATGATAGTGATTAAGTGGGTTAAGTAAGGCCTGAATCTCTGCATAGAAGGAAAGGCTTTGAAAGGAGTTCGGTTATGTTGTTAGACAGTGACACATGCACAAGGGGAAGATACTGAATGCCCCAAGCACAACAGAAAAGGTGGTGACAGTTTGTATCTCAGTTGAAATGGGACAGTACAAACAAAACTACAGGTAAACATGAAGAGCATTTCACTCCCTGTGAAACTATTTGGGCCTTTTAAAGTTTTGATGAATCGTTTGTGGGTTTAAAGCCGAAGTTAGGCTTACAGTTACAAACCCTCAGGCATAACTATGGTGATTGCACAGATGACGAGTGACTTTATCAACACCAAATCTGATGTCTACTTGACTCCTCTCCCTAAAAAAAAACCCAAACCACTACACCAAAACAAATATTCATCTTGGTGAAGTTAGTTCTGTGCAAAGATGTTAAACCAATAGCTTGGCTTGTCTGTTCCTCATCGGAGTTCAGTTTCTAGGGTCCAGCACACAGAAGTCAGTAATATGTTCAGTTGTCTTCCTCTTCTTTTTAATTACAGTATATCACCAGTGGAATTTAAACAATGGGCAACTGATGACTTTTATTTAAATTGCTGATAATAGAATAATGCTTTCAACTATGTTGTCAGAAGTATTTCTTTTTAATTTTTAATAACTAATGGAAATCAGTTCTCTCTTAAATTAGTTGAAGCAGTGGCTGTTCCTGTACTTTGAAAGTACAGAACTGCGTATTTAAAGACTTGCAGATCAAAGAGGGTATGGTTATGAAACATTAAAACAAACTGCAACATCCAGGTCAGAGATTATCTATGAACATGCTGACAATTCAGGAGTTACCAGAGCTGTGCGGGTTTGCCTCTTGCTTTCATGCTGAGAATGGAGGAAATCCCCCTTCTCCTGAGGAGAAGCCAAGGAGATAATTTTTGTGTATTTTAAAATTAATAGGGATGAACATTTGCAAGGAAGTTAGGGTATTCAACTTCTCATGTTTCTTCACAAAAACCAGGAGGGTTATTTTTGATGTCCTTACTTAATTCAGAGATGTTGTGATTTCTGCCTACTTCCTGAGGACAGAACAGGTTCTGATCTCTGACTCCCAATTTACTGACTCATTCTTTCATGGCTATCGAAGATTGTAGAGTCAATCCTGTTTTGTCAATAGCAGTGATCACAGCAGTTACAACTTGAAAAAAATATGTTCAGCTGTGAAGACACGACATAATCATTACTGTCCAAGCCTCAGATTTTAACTTGTTTCTAGGCTTTTTCTGGTATTTGCAGTGTCAAATTGCAATACTTTTACTTAATAATTTACAAAACACATAAAATACATTTTAAGTATGTGGATAACTTTTATCATTAGAATAGGGGAGTTAAAAGCCAAGGGACCTGACTTCTGTATCTGACACTGAAGGGCTTGGCACAGGGAACCAGCAGTGGTTTTTCCATATCTGTAAAACCAGGACGGCTCTTACTGCTGAGCAAATACTGGGGAAAAGGTTCTCTCCAGTTAACATGATGCCATTTGCATTGCCACAAATATGACCAAATTCACAAGATTACTTTGTGCTGTTTTGGTATGTATCCTTTGCCTTCTTGTGAAGTTACTGTATATGCTGTAATATTTTCTGGGCATTACTACAGGTCAGTCAGTCTCGCTTCTGTGCGCAGCAAGATCATGGAGCAGATCCTCCTGGAAACTATGCTAAGGCACATGGAGAACAAGGAGGTGATTGGTGATGGCCACCATGGCTTCACTAAGGGCAAATTTACTTACCAAATTTGGTGGTGTTCTCCAATGGGAGTACAGCACTGGTGGATAAGAGAAAAGCAACTGGCACATCTACTTAAACTTGTGCAAAGCATTTGACACTGCCCTGTGCAACATCCATCTCCATTCTAAAATGGAGAGGCATGGCTTTGATGGATGGGTCACTTGCCCTGGAAAATGAACATGGGGGTTTCTCTGTGTGTGGTCATATAATTTGCATGTATACATGATTCTGAGCTCACTACCTATTGTCAGTTGTCTCTGCTGGTGTACCTTCTATAATATGGCTAAGTTATGGTTTACTCGAGTGGTTTTGCAGGTGGTAGTTTGATGTAGGACTTGCTGCAAGAGGCAGAACTATAACTTCTTTTTATGATTGTGCTATCTGGTCCTCCTCTGAGTCAGATATGGATGTCCTAGCCAAAAAAAAAAAAAAAAGCCTATTATCAGAGCTGTGGCTTCTCTGATTAGTATATAAGGGGAGCTGGACTAGTAATGAATTGCATATCTGAGTTCTAGAAAGGCAGGTGCTGTCTGCTAAATGTGTGCCAAAAACTCCAGTGTCAACAGTAAGGGTGAATGATGTAATGCCACCTTACAGCCAGAACCACCCTGAGATCATGAGCTCATTTCATATTAAATAATAATGATCAGTTGGAATTCTTTATCATTGCTAATCTGCCAAAAGATTTACTAGCCAATTTTGTCTTGAACATGGCAAGGAGATTGGGGCAGCTCTTTCTGCTAGAGCCTCTGTTGGGCCAAAACCACCAAATCAGGTATTTTGGCTGTGCTGCTGCCAGTATCTAACATAAAAGTAATTTTTAACTGTTTGTAGAATGAACATCGAAAACCCCAGTGCAGATGTAGAGATTCTAGCAGGAGAAAGGATTGGGAGGCAGTAAGCTGCTAGGAAGGGAGTTTTGGCAAAGATCCCTGTGTGCTACTTGCATCTTTAGCTGTATTTTCCAAGCTCTTCTAGCTGTTACAGTGAATGATA